TTTCCCAAGACTAGATATTGTCAGTTGAATATATTATCGAATATCATAATTCTTTTGTTTTTATTTTTAAGAAATTAAACCTTACTTTGTTTTTTCGTTCAGAATTCGGTAATTATTCAATTTAACTTCATTATTTATGCGAAATAATAATGATAAAAAATAGCGTTGTTTTAAAAGCGTTTTTTTTTTTAAAATTTATTTAGCACTTTGTTTTTAAGCACGCAAATAATTTTTAGCGAAATTATTTTTTAAATTTTCTTTCTATATTGTTAGATAAATATATTGATAAATTTCAATTTTATTAATTTTTTTATTATTTATTTTCAAACTAAGAAATCTTTCGTTATTTGCGCGATCATTTTTAGAAAATATAACATTAATATCTTTCTTAAGCAAAACATATACATCAAATTCATAAATTGAATTAAATCAATCTGAGTAGGAAGTTTTGATAGAAATCCGACTTTCTGCAAAATTGACGATGCATCACGATATAAAATTTCTTATATTGCCTAATCCTACTCATGATCGTTAGGTCAAGTTAAGTCTATCTTTAGCTATCGCTTTCAATGTTTACTCCGCAAAAGGAGTAAAATGTCAGTATGGAGAAAAGCCACAGTTCCGAAAAAAAGAAATGAAAAGCGTCTGTGATCGAATTTTTAAATACTTACTCTAATGCTACATTATATGGGCTGATAGAAATTTTAAAAAAAATGGGAATAATGCATTGGCTTTGATAATTTTCATCTAGATGGAAAAATGTCGCCAAATTGATGATTTTTAAAAAAGTTTAATAATTTTTAAAATAGTTTAGTTATTTGTTCGTCCTAAAAGCCAAAATAATTCCCTACAGCAAGATGATACAAACAGTATAAAATTATAGCTTTGCTTCATGTATAAGGCACTTTAACTATGGCAATTTTATTTCCCTTGGCGAAAGAGCTTCGAAAAACCCTGTTAAAATAAACAAATATATGTAGTTAGTTATAAGCACACATATTTTAAAAAATTTTATTACGCTAATTCTAAATGGAAAGGGAGAAATTTCTGAAATAGTAAGGGCTTTTCAAATAAAATGTTAAAAACAAGATATTAATACTCTGAGAATTCCGTCTTGCTATACAAGGGCTTTCAGCCATGAATTACCTGACCGCTGTTGTGAACACATAACTTCTAAATCAGTAATTTATTTTATATTAGAGCAACTGACCCTCACTAAATATTTGAGACTAGACTAGACATGGGTTCTGACGCGAGCACCTAACTTCTTCATCTGGCGAAACTAAAGAGGTCCCAGGGCAGAGATGACTAATAGCATATGAAAATATGGAAGATTCCACAGAAAAAATTCTGTGGTCTTCCGTGTTTAAATTTGCAAGGAAGATTGTGGATTTGTCGAAATAAATACATTATTTTATATAATGTTAAAAATTCTTAAAATAAAGTGGTTGTTTAAGTGGTTGTTAATTATTACAATAAAATATTTTTAAATACAGAGGTAAGGGTTAAGTAGGAAGAGTTTTCAAAACAAGTTGCTTTACCAACATTTTGAATCTAAACTGAACTGTATTAAACATCAGGGCACTTGAGGCTGCTTGCGGCTCTTTTGACATTCATCTATAACTTAAACTTTCTGGTGTTTCGATGAGGTGGTGGAATGCAAATGAAGTAAAGGAGTATTCACGTAAATCATTGAGTGAATGTGAAGTAATGTGCTGTAGGGTGATAAGACTATTATGTAAAAATATGAGGTATAACTTGAGCTAAGATGGTATGGTGAAAATGAGGTTATGTATATGCTATTGAATCTGATACATCACTGCAATAGTATGCTGCTATTGGTCTGATGTTCTTGTCTTCAGTAAAATTTTCATGTAGGGATATTTCATTGGAATTTGTTGCAGAGCAAGAGGTGGCTTTTTCATGGAATTTTATACTTAATTTAGCTATATGTTTGTCTATTGCATCCATTTTGTGCATCCATTTTGAGGTCGTGGTGTATTGTGTCGTTTCTTACGAACCACTAGGCCAGTGGTCGGCAAACTTATTAGCCAAAGAGCCAAATATGAACATTGCAACAATTTTAAAAAAAATTGGGAGCCAAATGTGCTTGTTTAGTAATTTTTTATTACACTAAATAAGTAGTACACTAAATAAAACTAAATTCCATACTTAATAAATATTTATTAATGCGAATAATGCGCTTGCATCTCCTTGGAAAGTTTGAGTAAGTCAGGTTTGTATGTTGTTGTTTTTATTTTTAGGCATTATTCCAAGTTTTCATCAGACGACTTCTCAGTTTACTCTTGATAATGTTCATGCTTGAAAAAGAATGTTCGCATATATATGTAGAACCGAAAAGGGAAAGAACAGCAAACGCGAGCTTTTTCAGCTGATCGTAAGAGTCAGGAATACCATTCCAAGCGTTGAAAATGATCATGTCTTCCTTCTCCAGGTCATTCAAAGCAGACCACTTGCGTTGTGAACTAAGATCAAATTTTTTCTTCTCCAATATTTCCAATTCATCACAAAGACGTTCGAATTTAGAGCGCCATATCTCCTTGTTTTTTAAATCCAGCAATTGTATTTAAAAGCTACCAATTTCAATTTCAAAAGGAGAAAATTTCAACTCGGTTATCGTAGCATTAAGAGGATTCTGACAAATGCTAAAGTTGCTCTGCTGTTTTTAAATTCCTGAAACCTGCTGAGAAATGCTTCCCTCATATTTAAAATTATTGTTTTAAAATGGTGTTTATCAATAGAGGAATTATTTTCTTGGCGATGCTTCAGCAGGCTCGGAAAGTGAAACAATGTTTCCCTTTCAAAATCCTGAGCAAAAATGGATAATTTGTTTTCGAATGTTATTACTTCTTCTAACATCGAAAAAATTAAGTTTCCTTTCCCTTGTAGTTTACGATTAAGCTGATTTAGATGAGACGTAACGTCTACCATGAAATTAAAGTTTTGGATCCACTGATCGTCTGTTAGTTCTGGATAGTGAACGCCCTTCTCAAGGAGAAATGCTTTAATTTCCGGAAAAAGGGACGCGAAACGTTTTAAAACGTTCCCTCTTGATAACCAACGTACCTTGTTATGAAGCAGAAGATCAGCGTACTCACTCTCCATTTCAAATAAAAATTCTTTGAATTGGCGATGATTAAGAGCTTTAGCTAAAATGGAGTTGATAATGGTAATCACTAATTCCATAACTTTACAAATTTCATCCGGAAATGTTTGCGCATGAGTGAATGAGACAATGGTAAACAAGTATCTCGTGATTAATTTTTTCTTTCAATATGGCAACAAACCCTTTTCTTACGCCGATCATACTTCTGGCCTCATCTGTTGAAATCGACACAATTTTATCGAGGGGAATATGATGTTTTTCCATACACTCAATTACAGCATTTGTGATATCTTCTCCACCCGTCTGACCTTTGAGTGACAATAATCCTAAAAGTTATTCTTTAGGGCCAGAATGAGACATAAATCTTACAGAACGTGAAACTTGCGTATCATTATGTCACAAGACTCGTCAACTCAAATTGATTAAGCCGAAATAATTTCAGATCTTCGATATGCTGAGTGGTTATATTCGAATACATTTTAATTGTTCTGTCTTTAATGGTTTTGGCAGACAATGGTACCTCTTTAATTGTTTTCAGAATATCTGCTTTGTTCTTAAAATCCCGAAATAGCTCTTCGGATTAATTTATCAAAATGAGATGTAATTTTTTTCTTACCAAGTTTTTTGTTTAAATGAAAATATTATTTCGCCTTCCGTGGATATTTGTGCCAGAGCCGCACTTAAGGAGCCAAAGAGCCACATGCGGCTCTGGAGCCGCACTTTGCCGACCACTGCACTAGGCTATTACTACCTTCTTATTCTGGCAGACTATTAATTTATTTAGTTGAGTTTGTGTTGACTTTGCATCAAATGTATCGATGTTTTATGTTGTTCATATGCCTACCTGTTATACATATTACTGCCAGTTACTATTGATACATATTAATGTATACATATTACTGATTTCTCACGGTAGTTAAAAATTTTTTTTCTAAATTTAAAAATCAAGATTTATACTTGAAATATAAGTATTCCTTCCACAGAAATCTTCCAGAGTCAAAAATTTTGTATCCACAACAACGGGACAGGTTGAATGGTATATTTTATACTATAAATTTTCTTATCATTTTAGTTAATCACGGGGTGTGATGTAATGAGTTAAATAACAAAATATTGACTCAAAATCTTATTCCTTTTAAGTATTTTTAAAAGGCTTAACTAACATAATGTGTTTAATTATGAAAAGATTTTTTAAAAAAAAATCATATTGTCCTGTTTTATTTTTCGATGTATTTCTGTACCCTACTCTTACAAAATCATAGTTAATAATAGTTAGTTTTTAATTTCAGAAATTTGAGGATGGAATGTTCTTCTGGACCCATAATCATTCGATTGTTTTCTAAGGATTCTGCCACATTAAATTCGATAATGAGGCAAGACACAAATTTCTCTGACATTAATGACAAACTTCGTGCTGAAGAATACAAAAAAGAAAAGGAGGGAAATTGTCGAGTAGGAATTTTTCAGGAGTGTAAACCTAGCGTGAAGAAAAAAGACCCTGACTGGAATGCAACTATTGCAAAAAGAAAGTTTTTGAATGCTTGGAAGAGCCTCTTTCCATTTTTAGACTATAATTTTCGAAAAAAAGTAATGTTTTGTAAAATTTGTCACCAGTACAGTACCTCTAAACAAAAAAAGTTACCATTTGTACGTGGAACAAAGAACTTTAAATTGTCAACCGTTAAATTCCACCAAACCTCCAGTCTTCATTCGAAGTGCCTTAAGCTTGCTGCTCAGAAAATAAATGGCGTTAATTCTTTTGAACATGACATGCAGAAAAAAAGGGTTGTTAGCATTTTCAAACTGGTTTATTTTATGGTCAAGTCCAAAAGTTCATTCACTAGTTTCCCTCAATTGTGCGCGGATCAGAAAAAACTGAATTTGGATCTAGGACATGCGTATACCACCCATCATAAAGTGGTAACCAGTTTTTCAAAATTCATAGCTTCCAATATAGAAAAAGATATTTCGGAAAAGATTAAAAATATCAGAATGTTTTCGTTGGTGTTAGATAGGTCTTTTTCAAGAGGAACTGAAAGTCATGAAATGGTGTACTTGAAATATGTTGATGGTGCTAGCGTGAAAACAATATTCCTTGGAGTCGTCCAATCAAAAGGCGTAGATGCTAAAGATATGTTCGAAAACTTAAGTAAACTTTTCGAAAGATTTGGACTGAAGCAATGGACACAAATGCTGGTGTTCATCATGGTGGACTTTTCCAAAACGCGTTCATGGATAGATGGATTAGTTGCACTCATTAAGGACAACTCGTCACATATATTTGTAGGCATGATACCTCTTTTATCTCACAAAATTCATCACTTCCATAGAATTTCGAAAATCTTTTCATCAAAAAATGAATTATTAGAAACAATATCTAGCATTTATCAATATTATTACTCACTTCAGGTTGAAAATAGAACATTAACTAATCTAGACAAAGAGCTTGACTCGATCATAGAAGACTATGGTGAATTACCTAAAAAACCGTCTATGGTACCCATTAATCTAAATACTCTTGAAGCTGTTGATAAAGATTGGTGCTTGTTAGTTGAACATTTAAGGCAGAAAGATGTCAACCTTGAATCCAAACACGGTAAAGATAGACGAAACATTTTGTCTTCTATAACAAAATTAAGCTTCATACTAAACTTGGGTCTATATTTAGATGTATTTAGAAGTGTATCTAATTTTGGAAAAACTTTAGAAGATGATTGCTTTTTGCCTTACAATTTCAGCACCAGCCTTGGAAATTTTAGTGATAATTTAAAAAGTGCTTGCAACGGAAAAGAAAATGTTTTTCAGCAATATTTGTCAGATTTAAATTTAGCTTGTTCAACTTTTAGAAACATATTTATCAATTTAGACCGAAATAAAGATTTTGTTTGTAAAGATGCGCAGAAGCAATTTCAGCCTTTAATTCATTATTTTAATGATAAAGTTTTGGACAGAGTAGCGTATCTAAATTGTACGAAAATCTTAGATTTCGAAAGCTTGAGAACTCAGAAAAATATGGAAAACTCACTTTCCGAGTTCAGCAATTGTTTTTTGCATTTTCAGAACAAAGCTGAGAGTCTACAATTGGCATTAAGAGAATGGAATGACTTTAGCAGCAGGATTACTCCTATTTTTGCTTCTGAAAACACTTCGCATATACGAACGTTTTTATTGCAGGCGATACACAAATATCATGATGATTTTCCAATTGTAACTGACATTTTAAAGAAGACTGTGCTATTGGATTTTCATTCTGAAATTATGCGACGAGGTTATAAAGAAATGAATTTAATTAAATCAGTTGAGCGCAGTTCACTTTCTGTGAATTCCTTACAAGCTTCAATGATGATAGTCATGCATGGACCACCATTTTCTGAATTTG